ACAGCCCGGTCCACTTCCACAGACTCCCCGGCGGCCAGTCCCCGGGTCTGGACCTCGCTCACGGGACCTCACCTTCCAGAACCGGCGCTCCCTCATCCGCCCAGTGGCCGGAGCCCTCTCACACAGCGCTCGCTGCTGGGATGTTTGTAAAAAGCACTTAGTGAGCCTGGTCGGCGTGGCTCAGTGGGTGAGCGTCGACCTAGGATCTAGGAGGTCAGGGTTCGAGTCCCGGTCAGGGCACGGGCCCGGGTTGCGGGCTCCATCCCCAGTGTAGGGCGTGCAAGAGGCAGCCGATCCATGATTCTTTCTCATCATGATGTTTCCATCTCTCTCCCTCATCCTTCCTCTCTGAAATCAATAAAAATGTTTTTTAAAAATCTAATAAAAATAAAAAGCAGAGCCCCGGGCGGTGAGCGTCCCCTCACACTTCCACGCGCACCCACATGTCACGTAAGCATGCAGTGTTCAGACCCCGGACTGCTGTTGTCTGTCATTCGAATAGATGGTTGTGTGGTTTCTTCACTTTTCTTTCAGCTCAGGCAAGAATAAGGATCTTGTTGTCAACGTGAGGTTAATTTCCAAACGCACTCAACACTGGAAGATGACTCCGGTCCCCACCAGGGAGAAGCACTCCCCGTTTTTATTTTGTATTCCTTTTTAGAAGCATTCTTATCGTCATCATTACAACGACCGGGCTATTTTTAAATAACATGTTATTTTCAAATCAAGAAAGATGCATCATCTAGTGCAGCAGTTCTCAACCTGTAGGTCGCGACCCCTTTGGCGGTCGAACACAGGGACCCAGTTCACGACTGGAGGGAAAGTGAGGCCCCAAAGGCGTCCTGGGTCACACCCTCTCGGGGGGGGGGGGCGGGGTGTCGGGGGACGCCCTGCAGGTCTTTCAGACACCCCACGGGCCGGGACATCCTGTTACCTGGCACCAGGTCACAGGGCCCCTCCTGTGGGAACTGGGAGCACTTACAGCCCCCAAGTCGCAAGCACAACACGCCCAAGGCCGCTGAACCCCTTTGGGCGAAGTTACTGCACCTTCGCTCCGAGGAAGAGAACAGAACGCTGCTCGGTGGGCTCCCTGCCCTCCCCTCAGCCAAGTGAGGGCATTTCTTTTTTCTATTTAATTTATTAATTTTTTTTATTTCAGAGAGGAAGGGAGAGGGAGAGAGCGATAGTAACATCGGTAATAAGAGAATCATGGATCGGCTGCCTCCTGCACACCCCACACTGGGGATGGAGCCCGCAGCCCAGGCATGTGTCCCGACCAGGGATCGAACCGTGACCTCCTGGTTCATAGGGCGACGCTCAACCCCTGAGCCACGGGTGGGCGGTATTTCTTTCTAATGACGCATTCGCAGCATCACCCTGCTTCCTGCTCAGGAGGAGCCCAGTGCAGAGGGAGCCGGCTGGGCCAGGTGTGATCAGACACGCCCGCTCCGACCCCTGCCTCCTCGGGCACCTGTCTCCCGGCGAGTAGGGCTGTCACGCCCATGGCAAGGCTGAGCCAGGAGGAAGCCACAGGGGTGCCCGGGTGCCCGAGCCGGCTGCTCGGCGTTATCACCAGGAAAGGAGGAGGCTGAGGAAAGTGCTCTGCAGTATTTCCCAACTTTTACAACTACACTTCAGCGCAAGTACGTAAGGCCAACATCTGTCCTGCCCCTCCTGACCCTGCAGCGTATGGCCGATGGGGGACAGGCCGGGTTTTCCTGCTTCCAAGCCAGTCTCTCCCTCCTTCCTGCCTCCTCGGCCCCGGGCCCAGCTCCCTCCAGCGGGGACCGCAGTGCGCTGCCCCCGGTGACCGGGAGAGAGAGAGAAACATCAATGCTGAGAATCCCCTGGGGATCGAGCCCGCAACCCGGGCACGTGCCCCGACCGGGAATCAAACCGTGACCTCCTGGTTCGTAGGTCGATGCTCAGCCACTGAGCCACCCTGGCCGGGCAAGTGAGCGGTGAGTTTTGGAGGGCGAGGACCCACGTGTCCACCACCTCTGGGATCCTAGACACACCACAGCACACAGACATGTCTGCTCAAGGTGGTGGAAGCTGAGCCACGGCTGGTTGGCTTACAGGCATGTCCTGCAGCTCTTACAACACAACCCACACGCAGCTTGGCGACCCGTGGGGCGTGGGCAGCGTCGCTCTATGTCTCTTCATCGTACGTGTCCTCAGGTCGGCCTCTGGGTGACCAGTACTTGCCGAGTCCTAAGACAACCCGCAGCCTAACCTCTCGGGCAACGGGGCCCCTCCCCACTGTCACACACCCCCTCCCCCATCTCACCCCCCCGCCCCCGATCCAGCTGCTCACAGCTGAGCACTGGCGTTCCTGGCGCCGTGTTCCAGTCTGACGCCTTCGGAACTCATGACAAGTTTCCCACAGAAAAGTCAGAGACGAAGCGCTCACACGAGGGTGCTTAGTGCCCACGCCCATCTACAGAAGCGCACACAGCCCAGCGGGTACCACAGGAGCCGGCCCCGGCCACCTCTCCGGGCAATGCCTTCCCACTTCCCGGTGGGGGTGCCTGCCCAGGCGTCCTGAAGGAGGAAGCAGGGGGCGTCCTGAAGGCAGGTCTCGGAGGCCAGGGAAGGGCTGCTGTTCTGCAGGAGCCGTGCTATCACTCATCCATTCATTCACTCATCCATTCACTCATTCACCCATCCATTCACTCATTCACCCATCCATTCACTCATCCACCCATCCATTCACTCATCCATTCATTCACTCATCCATTCACTCATTCACCCATCCATTCACTCATCCATTCATTCGTTTGTTCATTCACTCATTCATCCATCCATTCACTCATTCATCCATTCACTCATCCATTCATTCGTTCATTCACGCATCCATTCATTCGTTCATCCACTCATCCATTCACTCATCCATCCATTCACTCATTCATCCATTCACTCATTCATCCACTCATTCACTCATCCATTCATTAATTTGTTCATTCACTCATTCACCCATTCATTCATTCATCCATCCATTCACTCATTCATCCATTCACTCATCCATTCATTCGTTCATTCCTTCACTCATTCATCCATTTGTCCATCCATTCACTCATTCTTCCATTCACTCATCCATTCATTCATTCGTTCATTCACTCATTCATCCATTCCACTCGTTCATTCATTCATTCACTCACTCATTCATCCATTTGTTCATTCATTCATTCGAGAGACGTGCATTGAGAACACAGTCTCCTGGGACCTGTGCCCCACTCAGGAAACAAAAGCAGGCGTGGTCAGGCGGTGGCCACAGAGCCCGCTGAGTGGGAAGGCAGGACACGTTACTCAATAACCCTTGATACATTCAGCATTTAAAATCGAGAAGAGTCTCCAAAGGGGGTACAACTCCATGACAGCGCATGACGAATAAGGCGTCCTAGGTCAGGGGAACCAGACAAGCTCCTGGAGGGGTAAGGTGACCTGGAATCTGCAGGGTCAGAGGAGGGAGGAGGGAGAAGAGAGGAGGAGGGAGGAAGGAGGGAGGAGGGAGGAGGGAAGATGGAGTAGGAGACAAGGGGCAGGGAAGAGGGAAGAGGGAGGACAATGAACGGGAGGAGGGAGAAGGGAGGAGGGGACAAGGGGCAGGAAAGAGGGAGGACAATGAATGAGAGGAGGGAGGAGGGAGGAGGGAGGAGGAGGGAAGAGAGTGCTCCAGGCAGAGGGAGCGGGGTGGGCAGCGCCTGAGGGGGGAGGAGACAATATTCCTGGAAGAGGAGAATATTCCCAGAGTTATGTCCTTGGAGAACAAGGTGAAGGGCTGATTGGAGGGTTCGGGGAGAAAAACAGGCTGTGCCCCTGACTCATTCTTCAGTCCACATGCCCTTGAGGTTGCCAAGCAGGCACTGCACCCCCACTTGCCAGCAGCCTGGGCTGAGCGAGCTGCACCCCCACGCTCCCCCTGCCTCAATGCCTGGCCCCCACCCCCAGGGAAGCCCTCCTGCATTCTCCCCTCCTCGGGCTGGAGCCGTGTCACATCCGCTCCGTATCCTCCAGGGAGACCGCCCTGAGCGTCGTGCCTGTGGTACCCTCCCGCTGGACACGGAGCCCCGGGCCCCCACCCTCCCCTCTTCTGCAGCAGAGCTGACCTCCGGCCCTGGAGGCACGCATCCTGCGAGCGGGCACCCAGCATCCAGGCCAAGGAAACTGGCAGGACAGGGAGACGTCGCCCGGGAAAGGTGCCCGGGGACACGGCGGGGAAGGCAGGCCCAGCACAGGGGACTGGGCCGGGCAAACTCAGGACCAGAAGCGAGCGAGCTCCAGGTCGCTCCGCCCAGAGAGCCCTGCAAGACGGTCCCCTTCCCTCCCGACAGCACCCCAAACGGGCCTCCGGCAGCGGCTCCCCAGGCCTCGTGGTCTCTGGGCACAGGGAGGGCATCTCAGGTAAGAAAGACGAATCACCAGCCATTTTCCCACGAGCGATCTGAACACAAACACGCCGCACAGAGGACCCGGGAGGCAGCGCGGGTCCCAGCGCGATGTCAGAGCGAGAGGAGGAGGCACCTCTTCCTCCCTCGTCTGCCTCTGGGGATGCTGCCGGGAACCCAGGCCCCACATTAAGCCAGGGGTTCTAACCAGAGGCAGCTCTGCACCCCAACGGGCCCTAGGAACTATCTGGAAACATTCACGGCCGGCACAGCCTGTGGGAGGAGCTCCTGGAGTGTAGCGGGCAGGGCCAGGGCAGCAGCCGCACCTCCCACAGAGCCGGGAAGCCACACACCAATGAATTACCCGCCTCCCTCGTCCCCCTCCCCCCCCCACCCCCCCCCCCAGTGACAACAGGGCGAGGCTGAGAGCCCAGGCACAGGCACATGGGACGGATGCACACTGATGATCTTATGACAGTTCTTGAAAAAGCCATCACAGTGTAGGGTCATCTTAGTGCAGTAAGATTCTATCTGATCCAGCTGTATTCGCGTGAAACACGTGTGTGTGTGAGTGTGAGTGTGTGTGAGTGCGTGTGCAAAGCGAACACTTACTTGTGCATGTGCTCCATTCCGATTATGATCATGATGCAGTAGGAAACTCCACTTTGGACGAGGAAATGTAAGGCGTACCTACAAAAGGGAGAGCACGGTTAGGCGGGGACGGCACCGCTCACCGACAT